AGTATATTTTGTATTGGGCTGAGTGACCACCACTCGAGGAGAAGTTGCAGAGTTATTGCCTATTGCTCGACTTTTGGGAGGGTGGTGATGAATAAAGGTAGGACCCATGCTCACTTGCCCAGACATATTCCTGGAGGCAGCAGATGCTCCAGAGTTTGTGGATATGAACAGGGTAGGCTGATTCCGGATGACCTGGTCATCTCCTGTGGTAGCATTGGCTGAAATATAGACCTTAGGTTGACTACGGGACATCACCTCATCAGTATTTGGGGGACTGGCAGCTATGTAAACAGTGGGCTGATTTCTATTTAAGGTCTGACTATTGACAGAAGAGGAACTGCTGGAAGTTCGAGGTCCAGAAGAACGCAATTTTGAAGAGCTGTTTCTTTGTGGAGGTTCAAGTTTGATTTCAATCTGGTTTTTTCGAGGTCCTGTTGAAATATTCTGAATGTTATATTGGCTATGGGCAGAAGACTGTGAGCTACCAGATGAATGAATTGTTGGTGGTTGTGGGGTGGTAGGTGAACTGATGGGCATGTAGACATGAGAGGTCTGGTGGCCTTGCTGATTTGGCTGCTGGGCTGAGGTATGTGACAAAGGATTAGAAGCAGGATAAGTAGTCCAGGGACCAGGTTGTGAAGGTTGATAGACTTGTTGCGAGTTCATGGGATTAAACTGAGATACCCAGCCAGAATGCTGTGTCTGTCGAGTTGTACCACTAGGAGTTGTAATGTAAGGCCTAATATAGATAGAATTTCCCTGTGGACTGTTAAGTACAGGTGGAGGTACACCATGTATGTGCAAAGATGTAGGAGTATTACGACCAGTCTGGATATTTGGGGCTAAAGTTACCATGATGGGATTAAATCTGGTAGTTGGTTGAGAAAAGTTAGATGTTCCTTTGCTGCCTAAGTGAAATCCAAGATGTGGTGCTGAATTTGAAGCACCAGATGTACTGGATATTCCAAAAACATTAAAGCCTTGAGGAACGTGAGCTGGTGCTGTCTGTGGCTCCTGCTGTTGTCCATCACTAATGCTGTGCGTTAGAGTCCTACTTCCATTCATTCTATTTCCTTCTCTTCCATGGTGGTAAACATTCTGTGACTGCAAGTCCAAGTTGAGAGAAGTCATGTGATTGCGTAGACCAGAAATTCCAGAATCATCTGAAAAATTCAAGTCTCCTTCACCGTAAAGATACCGTGTACTCTCCTGAGAGAGAACTGCACAGCAGGCATCCAGGTTATTATTATTCTATAAAATAAAATAAAAACAGCTTGATGTTAAGAACCATAAACTAATGTTTATGCTCATTACTAAACTATTACGTAATCAACAAATGTTAGTTAATAAAATTGTAAGATATATTTGAAATTAATTTGAGAAGAAATATTTTGATGCAAAGAGTTGAATTAAAAATCCTTATTACTAATATAATGGAAACATTCTCTAACTAGCAATAGCTAAGTGAACCAAGTCTTTATTTTATAGTAAAATGAACTCATGCAAATAAAATAAAACTACAACCTAATTAAAAATACAATTTGAGTGCTGATCATTAAGCATATACTACTGTATGATTAAATATTTTACATCTTTAAGTGCTACAGAAATCCTTTTAAAATCACCTTTCAAAAAATTTGTAGTACTTAAATAAATAAAAAACAACCCCAAAACACATATATAAGTGAAATGTCAGCTCCAGATTGCCTCCAGAGTAACTGAGTTTATTATCTGTCTTTAGGTAGCACCATAGGAAGATCACTCCAGAAAAATAAGAAACAAAGCAAAACAAAAACCAACCAGATTTTTTTCTAAAGAATCCTCAGAAGAGACTAATCACTATTCATAAATTATCCATAAACATATTTATTAAACACCCACAATACGCACAGAACCCTGTCTGAGATTGTAGAAGACTCAATGACTTATAAAACCCAACTTTTCCCTAGAAGAGTTTGCAATCAGATTAGAGAGACAAAGCAAGCATGGGCTTTTGAAAAGGTAACATTAAAATGTTGAGTATTTGCCAAATAATAAGTGGTACTGAAATTCAACAGAGAGTAAAATTGTAGGCTACTGCAGAATATGTAGGCATGGTTAGTATGTAGGCATGGTTAGTTTTTGCACAAAAGAGGCAGGATAAATAAATAATTTCTCTGTACTGGTTTGTAGAGTAATGATTTGGTACCCTTGCAACCTCCAAAGGTGACTAAGATTTTTTTGTATCATTATAAACTCCTGTGTCTTTAACATTCTGATGTGTGTAACTGGTTGTTTTCATTATACCCTATTTCCAGGCTAGCAGGAATAACTTCAAATTGCTTCCCAGGTACATTGACATGAACCCAGTAGTTTTCAAAGCTCCCTTGCTTTCCAACATGAAAAAATGTTCAGCTCACCGTGTACACTCCATACCCTAGACCTGGAATCAACTATTTCTCAAGTAAGCCCTTACTACTTTTACTGGGAAACTGTAGAGGATTCCTTTTAAGTGTATCAAAACAGGTGGGATGAGTTTTTTAAAGGTTGAGTATCATTACTTTTTTGTATACATACAAATCTGCAATCTCTTCAAAGCTACGAAAGAACCGGAATCACAATTCCAGTTCCTTTTTCATTCTTCCCCAAGCTTTGTGTACAGATATGGAGATTATAGATAGTAATCAAAGTATACATTATGATCATCCTTCTCAAACTCTTATTCATTCACTCTTTCAACCAGTATCTACTGAGCACCCATTAGGCAAGTAGAAAGGGATACAATCACTACTCTCAAAGATCTCACAGTCCAGTGGAGGAGATTAATGTGTACACAAATATAATACAGAATGGTAGGTGTTTTAACAGAAATATGGATAAAGACTATACAGGTGGAGGTCATCTAAGAAGGCATTAACTAAGGATATGCTACTCAAATACTAAGTTTTACAAAAAAAGAATGAACACTACTTATTCATTACTCTGAAAAGAAATGGCAATTTTAAACTTACAGATTCAATCATATTAAGAGAATAGTGAAAAATTCAGTTAAAAAATCAAAGTACCAACTATGTTATATTTTCATACTATTCTAAGATTTATCACCAAACATCCATCAATTTTAAAGATATGAACTACACCTACTGATGATATAGCTATCTTAGAGACTCCAGAGCACAAGGAAGTGATGTGAGTAGTTCCAGAAACAGGGATCTGAGCAGTAAATAAAGTTCAGAAGAGAACAGAAGATAGAGCCTTCTGTTCTCCTAAGAAGCATGATGTTTAAGAAGAAAAGTGCCAGTGGGCATGATCCTGTAACTACTTATTTCTTATATTTTGTATACTATGTTTTTTTTTCCATCTAGAAAAGTTCTAAACCAGTACATTATAAGGGGGATCTGATCTCTCCAGAGAAAGGACAGATACCAACACAATTGAGAAAGGGAGAGCAGCTTCCAAAGAAAGGCTGTCACTAAAAAAGATTTATACTACATTTAGATGTCGCTTAATTTACCTTTACAATTTAAAATTATTTCTCCAAATTTGGGAAGACTTACACTCTAGTTGTATCCCCCGAGTTGCCCTCCCTGTTCCTTTCTTATTAAATTTCTTGTCCCATCAGCTAAACAGCACATTAATGGGATGCCCAGAATGATTAATAACTGAATATGAAAGAGTATATCGTCTGCCTCATGGGTTATCTGGCAAGCAAAACAGAGTTCATGTTGTAGGAAGGTTTGATTTGTAAAATCAGATTAACACAGGGAAGGTGATATCTGACTCGTTTCCCCTTGCCCACTATCGGTAACAGTTTTTGTATTAATTGTGTTTTTAACCCTACCAGCATTTCTTCATGCAAACATGGGCAAATATGTAAACATGTATATATTTATTCCCCCTGCTCTCATCTATATATACTGATCTGTTTTCTTAGCTTAATACACCCTCCTGAAGATTATACTGTAAGAGTAATACAGTTCTTTATTTTTTGAAAATATTTTAAATAGAATGTCAGCTGTAATTGAAAATTAAAAACATAAAAACAGAAAATATTTTAAATAATTTTACAAAAGGTTCTATGCTTTAGTCCCAGTTAAGGTACTTCAAAATCTCTTATAGCTGTGCTATTGGGAAACTGTTCTAAACAGTTTTTTCAATATTAACTCTTATAAAGTTTTACTGCAGATCCTATAGTATTTTTCTGTGACTCATGGAACATTCTCAGCATCGTCTTATTTTATCACAAAATTATATTTGAAAAATTAGGAAGAGGTACCTGGGTTCTAGGGGAGACACCTTCCCCCACTATCTCTGCTCCTCCTTAGACTTGCCTTAATCTGACTACATTCTTAATACGCCCCCTACTAATTGCTTTACCTGTAGTATCATATTTAATACTCTGTGAAGTTTTTTTATTACCATTGTACAGTTGAGAAAAATGATCAGAGAAGTTAAATGCTCCTAGTAACTGTCAAAACTGGAACTCAAACCTGTTTATCACCAAAACATATGCTATTTATTGTTTTTAAAATGTATTTTTACTTATTTCCTTACAGCTTTGCTGACGTATGATTAACAAATAAAAATTGTACATATTCAGGTTGTACAATATGCTTTTTTAAAGATATACTATGCAATGATTTCATGTATTTACATATTGTGAAAGTACCACAATCAATTCAATTAACATATCCATCACTTCAGAGAGTCAACTTTCTTTTGTGTGTGGTGAGAATATGCAAGATCTACTCTTTGGGCATTATAGTATTAAAACATTTTCAATACTATATTATTTAAAGAGCTAGGCATATTCAGAGAATTCCAACAGAGGATGACTACAGCATAGGGTGTGAGGAGGAAAGACTGGGCTAGAGATCAGGCTGCAGAAGAAGGCAAATTCCAGATCACAGACCTAGTTATTCCCCAGTCAAGATGTGAACTTTATTCTGAAGATACGAGGAACAATAACAAGGTTTAAGCAGGTAAATATGTGCTAAAATCAGCATTTAGAAAGACACTTTGGCAAAAGTTGAGGAGGATGGATGGGAGATACCAAACAAGGTTAGAGTAAAGGCAGGCACACACCAATTACATGTATGAACAAAAGGTAATAAGGGTGGCCCGGCTGGTTGTGGCTCAGTGGTTGAGCATCGACCTATGAACCAGGAGATCATAGTCAAATTCCCGGTCAGGGCACATGCCTGGGTTTCTGCTTCAATCCCCAATGTGGGGGGTGCAGGAGGCAGCTGATCAATGATTCTCTCTCATCATTGATATTTCTCTCTCTCTCCCCACTTTCCCCCTTCTTCTCTGAAATCACTAAAAATATTAAAAAAGAAGGTAATAAGGGTGTGAACAAAATGAAGTCACTTAATATCAAATACAAATACGGAGTCTTTAAAATTTTCATACAAATTCAAACTTTAAAAATAATTTGTCAAGAGTAAATGTTTAAATCCAAATTACTTTTTTATCTCTATTTGATCTGAAAAATAGTTTTGACAGATTTCCAGTTTATTCAAATGAGAAGGCACAATATCACTAAATATTTAGAAGTATGGATTTCTGAAATTGTGCATACTAATAAAATATAACAATTTATTAGCTGTTTAGTGATATTAATTGGAAAACTTAGATTAATTTAAAAATATAAAGACAAACTTTTTTCTTTAGAATTGGGTTGTTAGAGTTTGTCAAGTCAATTCCTTCATTTTTATAGATAACAAAACTCAAGTACAAAGAAGGCATAGTACTTGCCAAATATGCTTGGGGTACCTATTTAGGATTAGAACCCAAGAGTGAGTCTCTACTCCTATTTAATGATTTTTCTCACTTTCACATTTCGACCTGGTAAAATAGGAGGGGAAAGAG